ATTTTCAACCCATAAGCATTACCTCCAGGAGCAGAAGCAAAAAATAGCTGGTCTCAATTCCTCTAGATAAATATTTTATAAGTTAATAATAAACCCAGCAAATTTTAACCTCAGCATTTTAAATGGTTACTATGAATAAATGTGACTAAACACAAAAGCTTAGAACTAATTAAAAGGTGTGCAGCCATGTCCCCTTAAGAAACATTATCTGTCATCCAACCCCATATGTCTCCAAGACAAGGCAGGAACAGCAAGACTGCTAAACTGAAATCAGCAGGCAAAAAAGACACAACTGAGTGCAATCAGCATAAATGGTGATAACTCAACCCATAACAGTGAAAAATAAAAGAGAAGGCATACAGATTTTGAAGAGCATCAGCCCTGAGGGACACCATAACGCACCTGTGTTAATAAGTTAGAGAAAAAAAGATGTACTTAAATGGACTACCACCTGACAGCTAAGAAGCAAGCTAAGAATGTGTGGTTTTCAGAGAGCAAAAGGGTAAACCTGCTTGTAACATGCAGGATTCCAGTTGGTCCTGGCTTTAGTGGAATTCCACTGTCTTTCTTGTAAGGAGGTGAAACAGGGTGTCATGAAAACAGCAGATTCTGCAGAGTCAGTAAAATATTTCCTGCTTTAAGAATTAGTATCCACCGGGTTGACTGCAGTAGGTTCAGCAAAGTTTCAAAGCCTTAGTAAAGAACAGTCACTTCTTTCTCTGGTGACCTCTGCAGAATTGCTCAAACAAAGACAAAGCAGACCAAAACACTTTTCTAGTGTAAATTGGTGTAGTTCAGTGCAACGGAATTTTGAGCTACAACAGCTTTGCTAAAATGTTTTAAAGATTTCAGGATAATCAAGCAACTTGAGTAAAACTGCAGAAAATTTAAACAATCACAGCATTTTGCAGTCAGAGTGACAGACACTGGGTTGATTCTTCATTCCTTGGTGCCTTACGTACCTATTTCCACCTGATGAAAATGGGTAACACTGCTACCAACTAAGGAGTTTCCAAGCACCAAATTCTGATTATCTGTTCTGGTGTGCAAAGGTGCTGATCCATTAAAAATTAAACCAATAACCTTGCATTTATTAAAATGTTACCTTTGTCATGCCATCATCAGGAAAAGTATGTACGAAAGGCTTCAAAGTTACAATGAGAGTAGCAGTGATACTCTGTTTTTGTAGTACTTTGACGCTCAACATAATTTTGACATAACTATAGTCAAGATAAATCATCTAAAAGGATGGTCTAAACTGAAGACTGTCAGAATTAAAGCACAGGCACAGTCCCAACTAAAGTTACATGTGCCATCATATATCATTTTTGCAATTAGATAGCTAATTGAACTTACTCAAGAGCCAGGTTATTGAAACTCCAAAACGTTATTGGAAAAGCAAAAGTAATTAGCATAAGAAATACCTTGCCTGTACACTTTTGGGACAAAAGATTTTACATTTTTATAATGTTTTAAGAATTAAATAGATCACTTTTATTATTTTTTGCTGGATTAAAAATTTATTTCATAATTGTAGAAGAATTTTTGAAGATTGAAATTCTCCAGCAAACCATAGAATACCAACTGTGCCGACAGCGACAGTAAAATACCTGAAAAGCCCATTTATAATAGAGCACAAAAATCTTTCTCTGACTACCACAATAACAACAAAGTTTCTTTTCAGAGCCATTGTACATGTATGCAAACTTCCCTGAATGAAAAGAATAGAGCAGTGCTCATGCGATTCTAAGGCACTTTTAGCATTATCTCTCAAACAAAAACATTGCTCTAGACTGTAATCTTTCTCTGCTACTGGTTGCAATCAGATTTCATTAAATTTTTTTTTTAAACTTGAAATGGTTAGAAAAAGGGTAGAGCATCAGAAGATTAAATAGTCTTGCTCAAGAAACGGCCCTGCACTTTGCTCTGAAAAAATATGAGATAGATGAAGAGCCAAAAGTGGAAGTATAAATAATTTCAGTTATTGATCTCTGCTCTAACATTTGATTTGATTGCTAACATATTTATTCTTTGTTATTAATATGAAAGAATATCTAATCCCTATTTTTAACATCACAATTGAAATGCTCAATTTTAAAACTTCATTTTCTGCCAGAAGTATATTCACAAAACATACAGACACTAAGTAATCAGTTAATTATTCCCAATGCAAATATTAAATATTGAAAAAGGTAAATGGCTACAAAGATCATGATAAAACCCAGAACAATATATATTTAAATGTTTGATTGAAATAAAAGATACCTAATAGAAATTAAAATCAAATTTTGTATGAAAAAAAATCGGTTAATGTCACTAAACTTATGACTGTTGATAAGTAATGATGAACCTCTGGTCAAATCTGTCTTTCAATTTGAGACAGCTCTTTATTTTCATGTCACAGTTCTCACAAAGTTCTACTGCTCTGTATAACTAGAGAGTATTGCTAGTTAAAAAGCACATGGTGAAAAGGCCAAAACCTCCTCCATTATCTACTTTTAAGTCTCTTTTTGGATCTCACCCAGGTCACGGCTTCTGTAAAATATTAGAAAACACTTAGGCAGCCAATGTACTGTATCTACTGCCTCTCCTAATGCACTCTTCTGTCATTCACCTGCTTCTGCTTATTCTGGTCAAGGTAGCTGCTGGGACACAAGCAGAAATCACCATTTTGCCACACACTTATCAGTGTGTTCCCATCCTCATACTTTAAGGTAAGGTGGTCACTAGGAACAACAAATTCTGCATATTTCTGGCTGAGAGAAAAAGCAGGGAGAGGAACAACTGTCAGATTTTATTTTGGAAGTGTGTGCCACTATGTTGAATGTCATCAGTATAAGAACTTAATTTACAGAAATTCTGCTGGCAGTTGATTGATCAAGATTGATCTGACAATAACATAGATTTACAAGGACATCAGTCCACATACAATTAAACCACTGCCAAGACCTCTAAAATATAAAAACATCACCTTACTGAAGGGAAATACTCTTCTACATGCCTTTGTAATTTCTCTTAGCTGAAATACTTTCTATTTTAATTTTATAATTTTTTCTTGTTCATTATTTTAGTTGTAGGTTATTGTCAGTCAAACTGCATAAAAAACGTACTAAAGTTATCAGAATACTAGAAAAGGTTTAAAATATCAGGAAAAGATGTCATGGATAATGAAAACAGATAGGGAACAGAAAGTTTTCAGCATTTTGAACAAGAGATTGTTTTTGGAAGGTCTGAGTTACTTAGATCTGAACACCCCCAAATGCTGCTGGGAGTTATGCATAAAAGCTTAGTCTAGGCCCATTTTAGCCATTTGAGTTGTTCAGGGTGACAAGATTTGCAGACACAGCTTCTTAACATGAACAGCACGCATGGAAAAACATATGCTAAGGTGAAGGCTTTCTGCAAAACTTACTCGTTGTCACATGGACTAATTGTTGACAGAGGAGTTCAATTGCAGATGAGGTTTGCAGTACAGCTATTAAAATATTGCATAACATTAGATTCATGTAAAGATTTGTGCAGAAACCAAAGATTTGTGAGGAAATCAAATGCCACCTGTGGCTTCTGCGTCACCGCTATTGTTCTTTACGAGCTTTGAGCTCCAGGTGGGTCACCCTGTTCATCTACTCCCTATTGGATTAATTGGGCACAAGAGAGTACAGAAATCATTCCAGATATAACCCCGCAAAAATCAAAAAGAAGCTTTTCCAGTTTTCCAAATGCTAAATGAGGAATTTGAATGAAAAAAGTGTTTTCCCTGGCACAGAGGTCAGTGCAATATTTAGCACATTTAGCAATCCCAAAATTCCATAGCATTCCATAAAGAGTATTAAAAATCATTACTAACATAAAAACCTGATTATATTTTTGATTGTTTTTCTTGACTGTCTGATTTTAGTACGATTAGAATTTTCTAAATCTTTTGCCTAAGTAGAACAAATGTGTAGAACATACACTATTCCATAGAACATATATGGAAATTTGAAATTCTGAAATAAAAGTCCTCTTAGTGAGATACTGAAAAGTGATCATGATGCTGATGCAATTTAATGGTATTCTAGAACTTACTCATGTTAGATTTTACTTTAATGCATCAGATATTAACTGGGAAGTATAAGTACATAATATTAAAATGTAATAAATTGTTTCCGCAATCATAACACAAATCTTGACTGTTACAAATTAGACAGTGAAGTTTGCAAGAATATGCTGCACTACAGCTGCATAAGCAATATAACTTCTTTTGCAAGGAGTAAGTCTGAAGAAATATTTCACTTAAGTCTTTTAAAAACCCTTCAAGAACGCCATCTGGTTATGGCCATTAACTATGGGAAGAGATTGAAAGGAGTAGCTTTACAGAAATATAAATAAGATACCATAGCACAAGACAAAAAGAACAAGAACATTCCAACTCTAGTGTATAGTACTTATTTTCCCTAGTAAATATATTTATCTGGGGAACAAGACATAAAATGAGAAACCACACATTGTCGGGAAACCATTTTTAAATCTCATATCTCCACAATGTTGCTTTTTTACAAATAAGGGAAAATCACCATATAACTGAGTTAGGAAGGTATAATACTTCTAAAAAATAGCCTCCTTCTAAAGAAATTAAATACAAATACAGTGAAAATGACAACATTGTTTACCACGGAAATAATATTTGCACAAAACAGGACACAATAACATCTTCTAAAACAACTGAGCAGCAAGAGCAATGCCACTCTGTGTTTCAAATATTTATATTCAATGTATTTATAATCATCTTCTCAAAGGTTTGAGAGAAATAAATCTAATCTCCCCCTCTTTTTTCAATCTATGCATGGTATATGTGCTAACTTACTGAATTCATCCTTCATGCAATTCCAGTTTATTAAAGAGGTTAAAAATTTATAAAACTCTGATGGGATATGGTTTTAATGCTTCATCACACTACCCATCATTTGCTTTTCAATCTAGATCAGAATGATCTTTCCGACTTCCCTGCAATCACCTACCTGCACAGCTAATATTTTCTGAGCGTTCTCCTGAGAGGCTGCCTGGATCCTCGCCAGCCCAGCCTGGCTGGAGAGGCCGCTCCGGCTCCACCACGCCTCCAGTGAGTCCCTGCTCCACCGCCTCTGTAGCGCCTGCAGCTGGGACAGGAACGCCAACGGCAGCGCCAACAGCGGCAACGCCAACACCAATGGCCGTGGTAACAGCAGTGGGGGGGTCGGGGCAGGGGAAAAGGTAAGAAGGTGAGGGGAGGAAGAAAGGGGAAAAAAAAAAAAACAAACAACAAAACCAAACAGGAAAAAAATTAAATTCCCAAGTCAGAGCAGGAGAGGAAATTAATGGCAGCGTTCAAGAAGAATGATGGAGGGAAATATAGAAAGCAGTCAATAGCCCATTCTGCGCTGTACGGACCTGACAGGAATTTCACAGTCTCTTGGTTTTTCAGCCCACTCATGTGCATTCATCAGAAACCAGTCACATCTGGCTGCCAGGATGGGGGGTTAATTTTCTCTAAATGCCTCAGCAGTTTTGTTCTAGCTGAGGCAAACTCTGTGACTGCAAAGCTGATGAGTAAAATATTTCTACTTCACCCAGTTTAACTCAAAACCGATAGCCTCGGGACATATTGAACCTTTCTTAAAAAAATAATCTTTTGAAGCTTTTTAAATGGCACATCAGGTCAGGCCAAAGTTTAAAATGCAAGTTTAAGACTTTGATGGACACAAGGGCTTTTTTTTCCCAGTGTAAAGCTTATCATAGCTTGGCAATGTGTGCTTTAGTGCATGACAAAACTAAAGAGAATTAACTTAGCCATCAACTGCTCAGGGAGAACAATAACAGGAAAGAAATTTCCATATAGAAGTTCCTATTAATCTACCCGGCTATAACCACATGACAAGAAAGCATCTAACAGCACTAAATTGCATCAAATGTGGTAGCTGAGAGTGACACTACTTAAAAAAAGGATTTTATATAGGCATACAGAAAAGATAACATTTATCCCAGAAATTGCATTCACTGCAAAGGATCCTAACTGAAATTATTCCAAGTGGGAGTACTTACCTGATAGGCTTTTGCTATTTGCTAACAGCAATTATTATTAGAATCCATGGTTAAGACTAATACCAGTTTTTCTTTAATCTACAAGTATTTGGAAATCATAAACACAGTGTGGCAGGTCTTGGTCTAGAAGGAAGATGTTTAAAGGAATCTGAAAGTCTACAAATGCAGAATGTTTTTGAAAAGGGCGGTGTTTTTTGGCAAATTCTACAAATACTACTGCATACTCTAGTCTAGTTGTAATGTAGAAAATGGAAATTTAAACTACCTAATTCATTGCTTAGTGGAAATACACGGGTTTGTGTTTCCTGAAGTTAATTATTTCGATAAATTCTTCAGCAATTGTTAGAATGAAGCCTTCAAGAGTATGCCTGTCAACCAGATTAACACAATGGATTGTACCATTCCTTTGGAAATATTACATTTCATTAAGGTCAATGCCACAGGTCAATAATTGGATCAGTTATAAAGAAGCTTTTACATGATAAGATATGACTGCTCTTTAGGAGCAAGCGCAGGGTACCAGCTGAAAAATACACTTTTTCAAAAGAATGTAGATTATAGTAATATCAAGTGAGCTATTACAGCCTAGAGAATAATTAATGCACATTTTCAAAATTAATGGCCTGATTTTCGGAGATACTGGGTTTCCACAAGTCCCATTAGATTCCATGGAAGCTGTGAGTATGCTGCATCTTTGTAAATGAGTCTGTAAAATATTAAAACACATCTTTGTATATAATATTTTGTGTTCTGTTAATGTATATTAAAAATAGCATGAGGGAGGGTAAAAAAACTCAATGGAAAAATAAAAAATTATCAACCCAAATATTATGTTTTCCAGTGTGAAGAACCTTTTCTAAGTACCAGAGCTCCTTTCCTCCTATTTTAAGAATTATTTTGTTTCGTGAAATCTGTCTCTTCCTGCTTATCTGCTGTTAATTCAACTATTTTCAAATATCACTTTTTTTGATACCATTCTGAGGTCTGAAAAAGAGTTCAGGTGAGAGAGGGGCAAAGCATAACAACTTAGGACATTTTAGTAAAACAACCTTCTTCAGCCCTAGAAAAACAAATTAAGTAGAAAACTATTTTTGTATTATCAAAATGCTGATTTTTGTAAAAAGCTAAAATAATTGCAAAATATGCTGTTGTGATAAAATGGTAGCTGGGTGAGCATATGAAAAGATTTGCCAGTGAACAGCGAAAGGGATTGGTGGTTATTCAGTTGAGTGGCAATTGAATTTCTTGTCTTGAGAGAATCAAAGAAGTTTGAAAGTTTTGAGATTTGGCTATTTGAAAATTGCCATACTTATTGAGAAACTGACAGTTTATAATGGCTTGTGTCCAATACAACCATTGTTAATGTTTCTCATTTCAAAATTACACGTTCATGAAAGCTGATACTATTGTAAGTTTCATATTTCAAAATGCACCTCATATTGTGAAAATTGAGTGTACCTATTTTGTGCCTAACAGAACAAATATTTATTATCTTTAAAATGTTAATTGCAACATAAATAACATTTATGCATGGTCAGAAATACAGATCTATGAGAAGGTAACAACTTGATCAAATAATGTTGCCTGCAATTTTAGAATAAAACAATGGGCACACGAACCTAGGAGGGACCAAGTGAATTCCTGAGTCAACAGCAGACCCTTAGCTGAGGCAATGATGTAAAAAAGAAAAATCTCAAGTAATGTCTAGCCCAAAAGCAGATTTCATAGGTTTTGCCATGATCTCCCTGCCTCTACCTATCCTGTAGATCCTCTTCTCAGTCAAATAACAGACATATAGTTATTAGCTTTTCCTTATCTTTTACATTTGTCAGCTGTAGAGACTTAAGAGGGCATGGCATGCATGAGTTAAACACATGACATGGTTGCTAACTCCCTTTTTTCCATGCTTTTTTTTCACTATTTGAGAAACAAGCTGCTTCCTAAATATTCTGAACACATCAAGCCAAATGCTGGCAGAGAAGGTAACAGCACCCATCTCCAGTGTAGGAATACGAACAGTAGCCAAATATTTATATATGAGATTCACTTCGGTTTTGATGTTTACCTTGCTGTGGTAGCAGGACTGAAGGAAAAAGGAAATGGAAAGACAAGCAAGCTCCATATTTTTGGGATACAAAAGGAAAGGAAATCTCAGGATTCTTGTTTGTGTTGCTCTTGAATCTGCCTTGGCTGCAGCTGATACAGGCTGATGGTAGGGAACAATTTTTGCAACAAGTGTCTTGTCCTAGTCCTCATCCTGCAAACACAGAAACAGTGAATAAATGGCTTTGCTGGGGAGACACCTTTGGAAGCTGCTGGAGAGGACCAATGATGTTCTGAAGGAGTTGCCCTCATCATTGTTCTGCTTTGGGGCTTCACTGTCTTTCCCCTTATGCTGTGGCTCCTCTGTGAATCACAGCAGATGGGAACATATGACTCTGTGGTAATTTAATTCCTTCTTTATATGTGGCACTATATCATCAATAATATCAGCATAAATTTGGGAAAAGGAGGTGTGAACTAGCTGACATTACTATCTTACTAGAAAGGAACCGTATGATTCGAGGTACCTTATTCTGTTCTCAACTTTTAGATTTTTATTATGATACATCTAGATACTTCATTCAATTCATGCCTGATTTGCAGTAATATGATTGAAATCAAGCCAATATCCTAATCTGTAATTCCTTATCTGAGGGATCAAACTGGACTAAAAACATATGATACTATTTGAAGCTGAGGCCCATCCATTATTTCTGTGGCATTGTTTCTAGGTCCTCACTAATTAATTCTATCACTATATTTGAATTGGCTATACTGCAAACAGAAGTTAAACTGAAAGAAAATCCCACATAGTAAGAAGTAACTGCATCTTATTTAGACTAGAACACTTTTTACCTTTGTTGTCTGGCAGTTCACAAGAACCCAAAATTTCCTCCTGCTTTGTCTTTTATTACAGTCTGGCTGCATCGGGCTAGACCAACACACATTGCAGACATATTTGACAATGAACCCAAAACTAGGGGTGTTTACTTGTTTAAATGTCAAATGGCATGTGGTCCCATTAAGAACACAAAGTGAACAGCATCAGTCCTGATGCTTTTTCTCAGTCAACAACATACTACTTGAAGTGCTTCACTTCCAAGTTTTAGCCAGCATCATGCTAGTATCATATTGGGCTATGATTAGAAACCAAATTCCCTCCTTAGCTGCCTGTAAACAGTGAGATCCAATCTTTCTCAATACGACTGTTGCTCCTTTACACCTGAAAATGCAAAGACCCTCTACGAATAAAATATTTTTTATTTAACAAAATTATAATTATTCATAATCACAGAATATTCTGAGTTGGAAGGCACCCACAAGGATCATTGAATCCAACTCCTGGCCCTGCACAGGACCATCCCCAAGAGTTCCACCATGTGCCTGAGAGTATTGTCCAAATGCTTCTTGAACTCTGGCAGGCTTGGTGCTGTGGTTACTTCCCTGGGGAGCCTCTTCCAGTGCCCAACCACCCTCTGGGTGAAGAACCTCCTTCTAACATCCAGCCTAAACTTCCTCTGACACAACTTCAGACCATTCCCTCGGGTGCTGTCACTGGTCACAACAGAAAAGAGATCAGTGCCTGCCCCTCCTCTTCCCCTCATGTATTCTGCATTTAGAGTACATACTTACATCTAAAGTTTCTGGTACATTAAAATAGCAAGATTTTCAATTGCGCAGAAGATAGTAGATATTAATATAGGAAAAACTATTCTGATTTTGTCAAAAGAAGATTCTCTTTAAATTTTGTCAAACTTTAAGTATTAGATCTAAAAATGGGCATGGCAGGTGTTTGCCTCAGGCTGAATTTGTTTGGACAACCCAAGCAGTTTTCTTTTTTTTCTGAGGTATTTTGGGCAAAATACATTACTCTACTCCTTTTAAAAAACTATACTGGTATTTCCCTTACTAGATGCAGCATGCAAACGGAACTCACACTTCAAAGGGGACAGTATTTTTCTATGTGATATGACTTTTTCATAAAAATATTCCGGTGAAAACTGTAAGACTTTGGAAAACTATTGACTCT